GACTGTAACGCTTCCCATTCTAATGGCACGTGGCACGCTCTGATTAACTAAGGACGGCTGTCACGCCGTCTTCGTACTTTGTGTTTTTTGAACAGTCCTGCCCAAATTTTGGGCTTTCTAATAAAAGCAAACCCTAAAGCAAAAATCTCTTCATCTTGGTACACTTTTCAGCTTCTTTCTCTTTGAGCTTCCACTGCTTCCCAATTTTTGCAACTGTGAAGCTTGCTTTACGTGCGTCTTTTAATGCTGTTGCATTCATTTCCAGGTCCTCTACTTCAACTTGGTAAGCAAATCTAGCTTTCTTGTTCTGTTTGTTTTCGTATTTGTTCTATGTGCTTTGTTTTCTGTGTTTTTTGCAAACACGTTTTTCCGTTTTGCTTTGCTCTATACTTCTATGGAAAAAACTCAACAGTAGAACATATAAGCATATGAAATATCCTGTAGAAAACAGGTTTTTGATCCAAAATCATGATGCAACCGAACTAGGATACTGTTTAAGCTAGGTAAAAGTCTAGTCAACTTACAACCGGACTAACACTTCATGTTTACACAAGTAGCTTTGAATAAGTCAAACCACTTCTTGATAGACCTTAGCCGAGGTAACCAACCGAACTAAGTTTGCACTTAATCATACTGAAATACTTGAACTCCAACCGATCTAGGCCTTTGGGGCTAAACCAGCTTTCTTAGTTTTTTAGATGGAACTCAGAAAGCTGCCCCTAGATGATCAACCGGTCAAACAGAACCGTTTCCACAACCGAGATATCTAGACGCTTGCCAAGCCCGAACTAACAAAGCCCTGCTCAAATCGAGCTACCAATCACCTTGCAGAAACCGAAATAAGACCTGTAGCATCCACATAGCTGAAGTAGGGCTCCTATTTTTTACTTTTATTTTGTAGCACGGTCCAATGATCTGTGCTTAACCCCTTTGTTTTCTACTTTACAGACTTAGGTTGCCCAGGCACTCCTCTGCGCGCTCAATCGAGCTACTGAGCACAATTTTTGGACCGAACTAATTTATTCGTAAATTATACAATAAATGGGGAAGTATAGGTATCTAGTTGAGACGCCAGGTGGTCTAGCCGAATTCCGAAGGGATTATGGCATACCTGACGATGTACACCTTACCCTGGCAGAAAAAGATGTCATACCCTGGGGGAATGACGGCTTTGTCCCCTTCACCCTCTTGTCCATAATTGAAACCGGACTACGATTTCCAGTCCAACCCTTAATTTGTGAGTTTCTTAGGCAAACCAGACTATGCCCAACCCAACTATCCACCAATTCATACCGTATAATAATGGGAATAGCCGAACTAAACGCCCAAGCCCGATCTCAACCTCGTCTGGCCGAAATTTTCCACAATACTCCATTGGTTCAAAAGAAGATGGTGGGTCTATTATTTAAGAATACGTCGTCGTCGAGAGAAGATAATAAAATATACACCGGATAAGGACTTGAATGACGACGATTTTTTCTGGGTGTCTGGGAACTTTGAGGATCATCAAGCCCAGATTCCTGGCCGACGTATCAATTGGAAAAAAGGGGAACCTGGTAAATTTACTTCGGTTTTCTTGCGTGCTATTTTATATTTCGGTTTGTCAATCTTTCAGCCGAACTAACAGTTGTTTTTTCTTCGCAGATTCTGCCCACCTCCATTCTCTATACAGCTACCCCAATCTAGCGACTTTGCGTGCCGCACTACGGTATCCAGAATGTAGTTGGGCTAAGCTACTAAAGTTCGAGCCGACCTACAGATACAACGGCCGTCGAAAAGCGAGAGTGACCGATTTTTTGCTAGAGGAGGCCCCAGAACCGGACCCAAGCTTGCCAGAAATCAGACTAATCCCACTAACTGCTGAAGAAGAAATGGCCAAGAAAAACAGAGTCAGGGCCCTCTTAATCGAAACCAACAGACCCGAAGTACCGCCACCGAGCCAAACCCAGGAGACCGTGGTGGCGTTGCCAACGCAATAACCTTCTTCATCTCGGTCAAATAAGCGTGCCCGGACTAACCAGACCGAGCCACGCTTAGTAGATGAGGATGAAACCGTCCTTCCGCCGAGCCCCCCACCAGTCTCACAACCGGAGCCAGCTAACCGATCTGCCTCCAAGTGGGTTCCCAAGCTCACGTTTCAGAACCGAGATATACAAGATACTGACTCAGTGGTCACTGAGAATGATCACATACTGGCTTTCAACCTTGCCAAAAGTGTGTGCCTTCCAAAAGACATGGAGCACCATAATCAATTGAACACCGAGTTGAAGGCCATCCGATCTTCAACAAAGTCCATGATCTTGGTAGGCAATTCTCTTCTTTGCTTTTTCATCCTTCCAATTTTTTTTTTGACTTTCAGTTCCGTTTAAAAGAAAATTACTATTCTTTTGCAGGCCATTCAGAAGAACAACATCGCCCATAAGCGAGTGTTGGAGCTTAGAAGGACTACCAGGGAGGCCATGGCCGAAGCCGAAGCCAAGACCACCGAGCTGAAAAAATCCCAGGAAAAAATGACCGAGTTGGAGGCCGAGGTAACACGTCTAACTGGACTAGTTACCTCGGCTAACGCTGACAAGCAAAGAGCTTTGACCGGAATGAGAGATAAGCACTTGTGGGAGCTAGCAAAGCTTGAAAGCTCTAAGGCCGCCGAAATACAAGAGCTGAAGAAGAAATCTGATGATGCCGAAAAGAAGGGCTTCAAGGCCGACGAGGCTGCATACATTCAGCAGTGTGAAGCTGCGAAGGACTTGTTCTTTAAGTGCGGCTGGAGGGGTGCTGCGGAGCAGCTCGGTTGTGGTCCTGACACCGAGATCTACAACGCTCCTCAGTACTTCATTCCGGCCTCTCTAATGGAGTATACAGCCGATCTTCAGAAGAATTCCTTGAGGCATTTGACAACGACGATGAAGAGAATGAGCCAACTGACACTCCGGTTGACAATGTTCCAGCTAACCAATCACTTCGAGTAGAGCCTATTGAGCAACCAGCTGAGGCCGAGCTCCAGACCGAGACCGAGCTCCCAATTCAGTCTGTAATTCCGTCTGAAACCAGGCTTCGGGTTGATGTCGAGTTGGATGCTGAAATAGATGACCTTTTTAGTTTTTTTTTTTTTTTGGCTATTTGCTCTTGTACCCGGGCTATGGCCCCCCCTTTGTAATTGCTCTTTTGATGAATGAAAAATTCCTTTTTCTTATTTCGGTTGATCTATATGTTTGTTCTTGTAATGATTTTTCCATGATCTTTTTACTTCCAACTGTTATCTCGGTCAATCTAACTACGCTTACTAGCCAACCACTCTTTAGCCGACATAATTACTTCGGCTGAGGAGTACAAAGAGTTTAAAAGCCAGCCAACCACTCTTCAACCATACCCTTACTTCGGCTGAAGAGTACAAAGAGTTTGTTTAATCCAGTCAACCACTCTTCAGCCATACCCTTACTTCGGCTGAAGAGTACAAAGAGTTGGCTTAATCCAGCCAACCACTCTTCAGCCATACCCTTACTTCGGCTGAAGAGTACAAAGAGTTGGTTTAATCCAGCCAACCTCTAAGTTGGTTTTTTCAGCCAACTTAGAATAGATTGTTTGGTTATTCCGACCAAACGTCCTGCAGCCTGGATCCTTATCCTGGGCTTAGGAGGGGTGTTAGTTTAATCCAGCCAACCTCTAATTTAGTTTTTCCAGCCAACTTAGAATAATGTTTGCAATATTCCTGACTTCACCTAAGTTAACTTTTACAGAGAACAACTTATGCTGAAAAGAATCGATTTGTTTTATTGAGGAAAGAAAAAATTACACGTGTTTGAAAGAGGAAAACTAAAAATAAAATAACTTGAGATTGGCGGTGTTCCATGGTCTAGGGATTGCTTTGCCGTCCTTGTCTTCTAGGTGGTATGCCCCTTTGCCTGCTAACCCAACCACTTTGTAAGGACCTTCCCAATTAGGCCCTAGCTTGCCATCTCCTGGTATCAAGGTGTTTCCCATCACTTTGCGCAGTACCCAATCTCCGATTTTGAATTGTCTTGGATGCACCATTTTGTTGTATTTCCTGGATAACTCTTGTTGATACGAGGTAATGTGGACTAGTGCTATTTCTCTTCTTTCTTCGGCGAGGTCGAGCTCCAATGTTATGGCCTCTCCATTTAAGTTGGGATCAAAATTTTCGTTTCGAATTGTGGGGAGGCCAACTTCCAGTGGGATTACTGCTTCCATTCCGTAGGCTAAAGAGAATGGTGTTTCTCCTGTTGATCGTCGAGGTGTGGTGCGGTAAGCCCATAAAACATGAGGAAGTTCTTTCGCCCATTTGCTCTTGGCTTTCTCCAACCTTTTCTTCAACCCATCCAAGACTACCTTGTTTGAAGCTTCTGCCTGTCCATTTGCTTGGGGATATGCCGGTGTAGAATTATAGAACTCTATCTTGTACTCTTCACAAAAGCCTCTGAAGATTCTGCCGTCGAACTGAGTGCCATTGTCTGAGATTAGGGCTTTTGGTATGCCAAACCGAGTGATGATATTCTACCAGACGAACTTCTTTACATCTTTTTCCTTGATTGATGCCAATGCTTCTGCTTCCACCCACTTTGTGAAGTAGTCTGTTGCTGCGAGAAAGAACTTCCTGTTTCCAGGTGCTGTGGGAAATGGTCCTACTATGTCCAAGCCCCACATTGCGAAAGGCCATAGGCTAGTCAATGGTAGGAGTTCTCTAGCTGGTTGATGTATTTGGTGTGCGAATTTTTGGCATTTCTCACACTTCTTCACATATTTCATGATTGCATTTGGAATACACAGAATGTCCATTCCATTCTAGCCTTTATTTCTAGACACTGTTTTAGTTTTGTTCATGATGGAATTAAAACAATCTCAGAAATATAAATTGGGTATGAAAATGTTGATAATCTGAAACCAGATGAAGCCTAGAATGACAAAGCAAAAACAACTAAAATTAGCAAATGGTATAGATCTAATACATGTAACTAAGATGAATCAAAGTAAGTGAACAAAATGTTCTGATTTTGATGCTCAGACGTGGCTCAGCACGGCTTTGACAAATCTTGAGACTTGCCGAGCTGGGTTCATTGAGTTAGGTGTCTCTGACTTCACGTTGCCTCTCATGTCTAACAATGTTTCGAAGCTAATCAGCAACACTTTGGCTATTAACAATGGCTCAACCGAGAAACAAACGTATAAAGAAGGTTTTCCCGCTTGGGTTTCGCCTGGAAACCGCAAGCTGTTGCAATCGTCGTCTCCAGCAGCAAATCTCGTGGTGGCTCAAGATGGTTCGGGGAATTACAAGACCATTCAAGCAGCCCTAGATGTCGCGGTGAAGAGGAGTGGCAGTGGGAGATTTGTTATACATGTGAAAAGTGGTGTTTATAAGGAAAATATTGAGATTGGCAACAAAATGAAGAATATTATGCTCGTTGGTGATGGCTTGAAAAACACCATTATCACTGGCAGTCGAAGCGTGGGAGGAGGTTCCACCACCTTCAACTCTGCAACTGTTGGTGAGGATCTCATCTCTTGTATATATATATATCGACG